CAAGTGACAATTTTTAGTTGGCATGATCAAAGTGGCACTAACAGTTAAAGGAGGAAAGAAAGAACTTCCGCAGAAACAGTACCGGGGAAAGAGAGTAATGATTGGAAAGGAAAACAAAAGAAGATACTCACCTTAAAATATATGCCAGTTAAATTCTAAAGAGAGACAGAAGGTGATTTCTCATTTTCAAAATTTATCATTTTATAAATGAAACCATAAAACAAGTATAGGGAAATGTAAGTAAAATTTATATTTTTCAGTATGGGAAAATGACTCTGTATGCATAAGAACAGGAGAAGAATCACAAAAGAAAGAATTGACAGGTTTCACTATGGAAAACTTTTTGAAAAACATGCTAATTTAAGGCCAGTGAAGTAAGGTCTCCTTGGATGATTTTTATTATTTTTTTTCCCGTCTGTCAAATCTGAGTCTTGATCCTGGTGGTGTGTTTGAGCCCCTTACCCCTCCCATACAAAGCCCCTTGTCTGGGCTCTGAACAATTTGAGAAATAAAACAAAAGATTAAAGATGGAAATCCCAGATCATTGTTATCACTGCTAATGGCTAACTTAGATATTTCTTAGTTGTCAGAGTCAAGTCTGAGATCATCCTGGCTGCCATATGGTGTCAATGATGTCAAACTAAGAAAGTCTAATAGTTGATCTAAGAAAGAAATGGAAAATTTTATTCCAGTCAAACTGAGATCTGAACCTCAGAATAGTGTCTCAGAAAGCTCTGAGAACTGTTCTGCTCATTAGAGGTCCAAACAGTTACATAAGTTTTTGAGGCAGAGAGCTGTACATTAAATGACGTATTATTGACAATTTTCAAAACCCAAATCTACAAAGGGAGTAGAGGATTAAGGGTTATCGTGGCCCCTTGAAAGATTAAGAAGGAACGTTATCTCCTAAGGAGGTCTGATTAATGCAGATGCAAGATACACACTGAAGGAAAGGGAGGAGGCCAAATGGGCAGAGAAAAATTTTATGTTTAAATTTTTCTCATCTTGCCATAAAATATGAATTTTATTTCCTCAGTGGAGAATTTTATCACATCTATTTATTTGTGGGATAAACTCACATATTTACTACCTACTGGTTTTGAAGCAATTACACTTGTCCTAAGGTACACAGTTCCATGGCGCCTATAATTTCCTTTGCCATCGGTTATTTAACCTTAAAGAACTCTACTTGACCCTGGCTTTTCTTATACTTTATGTTTGTTTAGGTTGTTTAATAAGTCTTCCTAAAGGGTAAGAGCATGGCTTTGAGTCCCAGAATCAAATTGTGGCTGAGCTGCTCCGTAGATATCTAACTCCAAGCAATTTATTTAATCCTGTCAAACAAAGCCAGAAACTAGTTAAAGTGGTAAGGACAGATTTTAATCAGTACTGTATTATTGCAGTAGGGAAGGGGTTCCAGCTTGAATTGATCTCAAGTTGGTTTTTACAGAGGTGACTGGATGTTTTAAAGGGAGATTGAAGGAGTGGAGAGGGATATAGGGGCTTGAGTAGAGTCAGGGGAAAATTGCAAAGGGCTGGTAAGTGTAAATGCCCATCAGGGCTCCACAGAATCTGGGACACAGAGGCCCTGTCCTTTCTAATTTCATTTCAAAGGAATGGCTTTCAGGTCCTGAGTTGTAGGAGATATAGCTATATCCCAAATGGACAGAGGAAGAATTCACAAATTCTAAGTCCTGTTTAGTAAATGCTCTACGACAGGATGGTAAAGGACCTATTGTTAGCTGTTGGCTAGAACAAATAGTAAATTCTTCTGGCAGCCTGGAGCTCATTAAGGGGGCTGAGTTCATCCTAGGCAAGCAGCACTGAGCTTGTAGAAACTATGTTAATGTTCACATCTTTTAATGTAGGGGGAGGGGAGTGGATGAAGTCAGTTGTGCTCCATCAGTAGATTTTATGGGCCTAGGCTGAGTTCTACTCAAGAAGAAAGAAGGCTTGGAAGAGCCTAGCTAGAGTTTGGTCAAGAAGAGAATCCTTGCCAATTCCCATCTGGAAAATGGGAGTATACATTATTTTTCTCTCTCATAAAAGGAAAATAGTTGTTTCATTGGCCCCTTTTCTTCCTGTCTTAAATGTACTTGTGTGAGAATGTGATGCCTGGAGCTGCAGCAGCTATCTTGAAATCATGAGGAAACAAACTAAGCGGTGAATTGCTGACTCTCTGAGGATGGTACTGTGGAAAATCAGGAACAGCTTTGATTTTTAATGACATTACTGAATCTTGGGTCCAAATCTGGAACCATCTATTTCCAGCCCCCCCCTTTTTCCCCAATAAACTTTAAATTTTAGAATAGATTTACTGAAAAGTTGCAAATGTTGTATAGAGATTTACCAAATACCCCACATCACATTCCCTCTGTTATTAACATCTTACTATTGAAACTGAGCAGGACCCTGTGGGGCCCTCCCAGGTAAAAAAGCTCCTCTGTGTCCCTCATTTCTTGTTTGTAGAAAAAGGCTTTAGTCTCCTAGGTCTTCCTGAGTTCCAAAGAGCAGACAGTTACTAGTTAGGGAAGTTAGGGAATGCAGAAATAAAGGAAAAACAAAAAAGAAAGTGAGAATAGTTCATTGATAAAACAGAGTCCCAGTTCCTCCTCAAAGGTAAGAATCTGACAGACATCTTTTAGTTGTTCTTCAGAAACTAAGACACCCACTCACCACCCCTACAGGCTGAGCACAAGCACTAGACAGCAAGCTGGTTGGAACTAGAAGGCTGATGATTGAGATTTACAGAGCATCACCAGCCAATCAGAAGAAAGACATGAATTCTGCAGCCCTCACCACAAATGTTGCCTTTAAAAGTGCTTCCTTGAAAACCATTGAGGAGTTCAGGTCTTTTGAGCATGAGCTGTCCATACTCCTTGCTGGGCCCTGCAATAAATGGTATAATTTCTTTCACCACAACCCAGGCTCACTAAATTGGCTTTGCTGGGGATGAGCAGACCCAAGCTCAGTTGGGTAACACTATGATGGTACATTTGTTATGACTAAGAAACAACATTGGAACAGTAGCGTGAACCGAACTCCAACTTTATTTGGATTTCATTAGTTTTCCCTCTAATATCCCTTTTCTATTTCCAGATTCCCTCCAGAATATCACATTACATTTAACTGTCATGTCTCCTTCGTTTCCTCTGCTTTATGACAGATTCTCAGCGTTTACTTGTTTTTCATGACCTTTGACAGCTTTTAAGAGCACGGTTGTCCCTTGGTATTCAGGATTCCCCCTTGGATACCAATATCCTAGGATGCTCAAATCCCTCATATAAAATGGTCTAGTATTTCCATATAATCTAGGCGCATTCTCCCAAATACTTTGTTATCTCTAGATTACTGATATAATTTCTATTTTTAAAATTTTATTTTACTGAATTATAGTCAGTTTACAATGTTGTGTCAATTTCCAGCGTAGAGCACAATTTTTCAGTTATACGTGACCATATATATATATTCACGTCATATTCTTTTTCACCGTGAGCCACCACAAGATCCTGTATATATTTCCCTGTGCTATACAGTATATAGATTACTTATATAATTTCTAATACAACGTAAATGCCATATAAGCAGTTGCAGGTGCACAGCAAGTTCAAGTCTTGCTTTTTGGCACTTCCTGGAGTTTTTTTTTTCCCCCTAATATTTTGGATCTGCAATTGGTTGAATCCACAGACAAGGGCTGGCTGGACTGGTTAGGTGCTTTTGGGTTTGTCTGATGTTATTTTCCAGGAAGAACTGTTACTGAGTCCAAGCTCGTACTGCTAGCCACACAACAGGCTACTAAATTGTGAGACTAAGTGTTGGGGCAAACAATAGCAACTATTTGGAAAATCAGCATACCAAGAGGATGGTGGACTAGTATACTAGAGAACCATTTCACTCGAGTTAGAATTCAGGCTGCTTTTATACTAAAAGGGGAGGGCGTGTGGCTGGTTATTGCAGACCTCTCGGTAGGACCAGACCCTGGGGGAGATGTGTTAATCCTCTGTTCTTGCAGCTCTCCACAAAGTCCTGGTCATGATGCTCCTGTATACCTTCAACAAGACAAACGTTATTTTCTGTTCTGTAACTTTTTATCTCTATATGAATGAAAAGTGCTATGCCTTTAAAGTTCAAGCCTGGGAGGCAGAGCCTTGAGAAAAGGCTGTTAGGTATATCTCAGGCTATAGATAACATTTGTTTACTGTTTAATGACACAAAGGTGTAGAGTCAGCATGACTAAGCACAATCAACAGAGCAGAAAAATTAGAGTGAAAAGCGTAGCTCCAATTTGGAGTCAGGTTAGTTCTCTGTTACACAAGTGGGATTATAGATTTTGGAGAGTAATACCACAGAGGTGAAGTACCCTTTCTGTATCTGGGTAACATGCTATCTCCATGACTCACCGCTGATTATGTTCTCACCAGTTGGTCAAGGCACTGTTTGCCAAATTTCTACACTGTAAAGGTACTTTTCCACTGTGCTCTTTTGGAAGGAAGTCAATAATCATGGTGGGGTGGGGGTTAGGAGGGGCAGAAACCAAGCTCCTGCAGGGAGGAGTAGATTCATAGCCAATTGGAATTCTCCTGTAAAGCTGATCCTCTGACAGCTAGGACAAGAGGGCCCCAGGGTTAAGTGGGGCTGGGCTGCCCAGCAATTGGGCGAGGCCGAGCCCTGCCCCGAGGAGAGGCGAGGGCAGAGGGCCGAGGCAAAGTAAGCCAAGAAGCGGGGAATGGCCCAGGCTTGCTAGGCCCGAGGGCGAGGCGGAAGTTGGGTGGGGTGGGGCCTGCCCTTGGGGTCAGGCCTCGGACGCGCGCACTTGGCGGTTCCTAGCCTGGAACTACGGAAGGAAAGACTCCGCTGGTCCACGTTTTAGAGCGCAGATTAGCCGTACATAGGCCACTTTTTTTTTTTTACCCTCAGCTCCGCGGTTGGGGGTAGCCAGACCTCGGCTCGCTCTGGCGGCTTCGGAAAACAGTGCGCATGCGCAAGCGGGTGTGTGGGTGTTGCGGGAGTGGAGCAGAGGCCCGCTGCAGAGCGACAGCTCCGCCTGGCGACTGAGGACGTGGGTCAGAAGGGACTCGAGGCGGGCCTGACGGAGCTCAGCCTGTCCCTCTGCTGCTTGGGTCCACTTCTTTAACTTGCGAAAAGCCAGCGTGCTGGCTTGCGTCTCCACGTGACCTGGGCCCACCTACTGACGCCGCCGTTTTGGAGCTGTGCCTCCCTGAGCCCCGGCGACTTCCGGGGCGGGCCTCCCGTTGCCCAGGTAACAGGAGCGGCTCGTGCTCCTTCTGTTTTATTTTTTGGTGTGAAAAGGTGAACCGAGTTCGGATAGCATAGTCCCACCAGTCCTGCCATGATGCTGCGCATTATATTAAGGCCTTCATCATATGGGAGTCGTTCACTTGGCAGATGTCGACCGGAGAAGCCGCTGTGGAGGCGCTCCGGGGACGCGAAGGAGCCTCAGGCCGGGAGTTTGTAACCTGTGGCGTCTGAGGCCTCTCCGTTAGCGGCCGGAATGCGGCGGGGGCGCGGGGAGGTGCGGCGGGTGTCTCCGGGGTCTGAGGACTGCGAAGCGAGGACAGTCAGTGCGGCGAGCCGAGCTGCCACCCTGGCTCCACGTGCAAGCCTGGCTTGTCGGACCCGGGACCCGCGCGCAGCCAACTTGGGGTGGATCGTTGAACCTTCCGGTGCTGGAGTGGGATAGTGGCAGGGCCTGGAGTTCCTGTTACTCATTTCTGTCTGGTAGTTTTTAGTAACAGTTTTTCAAAACAACTGTATGGTTAAAACGCACATGTATACGCATAAATAGTATTCATATTATGGCACTTATGTACTCATACATACGTAAGTCACAGAATAGGAGAATACAAAGTAAAGGTAAAAGCCGTTTCCCCTTGCACATTTTTGAATATGTTCCTTAAATCCTCTTGTTTTCTAAACATACGTTATGTGTTCAAAAGCAAACTCGTAAAGAATCATTGAATTTTTGTTCTGCAACTTTATCTTTTCGCTTAATACCCCTTGGATATTTTTACCTCTTAGCACGTATTTCCTGTTAATGGCTTCATAATACTTTATTACGTGTATTATATCCGTGTATTTAGTGAATTTTATGCTTCCAAGAAAGACACATGTAGAAGCTAATAGTCATTTTAGATTTTATAATTATCTCTGCTTTATCTGCTCCCTTGGCTCTCATTTTCTCCCTAATCTTTGGCAAACTGCTTGTTTAATTAAATTTAGTTCAGGATCTTGACTTTAAGAACAAACTTTAATTTACTTCACACTGAGGGAGGATTTTCTTTTTTCATAGCAGATGGGGGTTTCATGGCTACTTATATTAAAAGTACATTTAGGTTGATGCAGTAAGTGTTGATTTGCATTGAGATGTGTACGTCACCAAAGCACACAATTAAGAAATGAGTTACGAGGATTTCCGTGATTAATCAGCATTTAGTAGGACCTCAAGATAAAACTGTTTTAGAGAGACCAAGATAGTGGGCACTCAGTTACTGCACAAGGGGTCATGATTTAGCTCACAATATAAACAATTTGTACAGAAAACGCTTCTGAGAGATGATTTACCAACTAATACATGTTTGTATGTTTAAATCCCTATAGGTACAGAGAACAGTGATTATCATACAACTGGAAAGGAAGGCAAAGAAAATGCTTTTTATTTTAGATTGGGCAATTAAACAAACTGCAGTTTTAGTATGAAGAAAAGAGGAGGCAGAACAAGCCGGATCAGAAGAAGAAAACTCTTGAGAAACCCTGAATCTAGCAGAGGTACAGTTGTGGTGAAAAAAGGAATCATTTGTTGATTGGCTTTAACAGACAGACATAGCTTTTCCCAAAGACACATGGGCAATGTTGAAAGAGAACACTTCTTAAAGAATACTCTTTTTAATAGTGCCATTGTATTGTGGGAATATGGATATCTTGCTTCAACTATGTCTTCACTGGGGCTGACTCCCAGGTTTCTGTTTCCGGTCCTGATCTCTCTCCTAACCTCTGCCTACCTATGGGATATCAATGTTTGGAGATAAATTTATCGTTTCAAGTTCAGTGTTACTTAGTCTGAAACTAGTCAAAGTGCTTGGCCAACTAGAAAGTAGTACATAAATGCAGTTGTTATTTTTGGTAAAAGTTAATAACACTTCTAGCTGACCCCAAGCATGGCAGCACCATCTGAGGTAATCTTTGACTATCCTTTGCTTTCTGTAGCCCAGGTCCTACTAATTCTCACCTGCCTTTCTTTCTTTCTTTCTTTACTTATTTCCGCTTAATGGAGGTACTGGGGATTGAACCCAGGGCCTTGTGCACACAATGCACACGCTGTACCACTGAGCGATACCCGCTCCCACCCCTCACCTGGCCTTTCTTCAGTTAACTTCTCCTGTGTTCTACCCGGGGTGATTTCAGCTGGCTCTTTGCTGGTTTACCACATCCTTGTTTTTCTTCCCTGCTGGTTGTTCCATTTGGGGCTGTCAGTCTCACTTTGATAAGTGACTGGTGCCTCCTTGCCTTTCTGGTTTAGGGGCCTCCAGAGATGCTTACTCCCGGCTGTCTGCTATCCCAGCTCCTGCCTGGCATCAGCTCCTTTTGTACCCGGCTCCACCCTGCCACTCTGCGTGTTGGAAGTATGTTCTCTACTCACCACTTCCTGAGCACGCCCCCCACATTTCCTTTTTCCTTTCTTGCTTGTTCAGTTTCTCTCTCACTGAGCTGAGATCTTATGTTTGGTCATGCCATTTCCTTTTCTCACTGCTGTCACTCTTCTGTCGTGCTTATTGGGTCTTATTCTTTAAGACCTGCTGGTTTTCCAGTTGTTTTTCGTGGAAGTCTTGTTTCTCAACTAAAGTGTTAACTTATTGAGGATGGAGAATATGTTGAATGTTCTCCACGGTGATTAACATAGTGCTGTGTGTGTAGTGGTTGCTTATTAAATGCTCATTGATTAAATACTCGTACTGTAAAATATGCTCTCTATGTTGTGATAAAAATATTTTGGGAGCCTTGTATTTTGGATCATGCATTTTTTAGAAAACAGCTTTATTGAGGTATAATTGACATAGAATGAATATCACATATTTAAAGTGTATAATTTGATAAATTTTGACATATGTATGCACTCAGGGAGCCATTACCCCAATCAAGATAATGAACATATTCATCACCCCAAGAAGTTTCCTTGTTTCCCTTTGTGATCTTTCATCTTGCCCTTTTTGAACCTTGTCTCCCTCCATGCCCAGCCCATCACTGATCTGCTTTCTATCACTATTGGTTTGTCTGTGTTTTATAGTTTTATTTAATCATATCGTGTGCATTTTTTGTAATTATTATTATTATGGTTTAAATTGAACTATCCTTGATTAATAGTAGTGTGTTAGTTTCAGGTGTACAGCATAGTGATTCAGTTATACATATATATATATATATATATATATATATATATACTTTTTCATATTCTTTTTCATTATAGGCCATTACAAGATATTGAATATAGTTTCCTGTGCTAAACAGTAGGACCTTGTTGTTTATCTGTGTTATATGTAGTATTTTGTATCTGCTACTCCCACACTCCTGGTTTACCTCTCTACTCCCTTTCCCCTTTGGTAACTCTAAGTTTGTTTTCTGCGTCTGTGAGTCTATTTCTGTTTTGCAAATAAGTTCATTTGTATCATTTTTTAGCTTCCACATGTAAGTGATATATGATGTTTGTCTTTCTCTTAGTTCACTTGGTATGACAATCTCTAGGTCCATCTATGTTGCTGCAAATGGCATTATTTCATTCTTTCTATGGCTGAGTAGTATTCCATAAATCTGTTTCTATATAGATATATCTTTATCCAGTCATCTGTCACTGGACATTTCGGTTACTTCCATGTCTTGGCTATTTTTAATAGTGAATATTGGGGTGCATGTATCCTTTTGTTTTTTAATTTAATTTTATTTTGGCAGTAGGGGGATAGGTAATTAGGTTTATTTATTTTTAGAGGAGTTACTGGGGATTGAACCCCCAGGACCTCGTGCATGCTAAGCAAGCACTCTACCACTTGACCTATACCCTCCCCATGCATGTATCCTTTTGAATTAGAGTCTTCTCTGGATATATGCCCAGGACTGGGATTGCGGGATCATAGGGTAACTCTATTTTTAGCGTTTTAAGTCTGTGATTCAGTTTGTATTGTTTTTTGTAAATGGTATAAGATATGATAAAGTTCATTTCTTTTTCTTCTGGAGATCCAACTGTTTCAAGCAATATTTCTTGAAAAAACTATCCTTTCTCCACTGATTGCCTTTTCTGTTCCATTTCTGTTCCATTGACTTCTTCGTCTTGGTGACAGTATCACACAATCTTAGTTATTGTAGCTTTATAGTAATAAGTTTTGAACTCAGTTTTTCAAAGTGATTTTGGCTATTCTAGGTCCTTTGCATTTCCATGTGAATATTTGAATCATCTTGTCAATTTCTACAAAAATGCCTGCTTCAATTTCCTTTAGGATTATATTGAATCTATAGATTAGTTTGGGGGAGATTTAACTTCTTAGCAATACTGAATCTTCCAACCCGTACACAAGATGTATCTCTCCATTTGTTCAGGTTATTGATTTGAGAGCTTTAAAAATTTTTTATTTTTAATTGTATTAAGGTACACGTAACATAAAATTTATCATTTTAAGAATTTTAAAGTGTAGTTCAGTAATGTTAAGTACATTTACATTGTTGTGCAGCCAGTCTTCAGAATTCTTGAGGAACTCTATACCCATTAAATAATTACCCCTCATACCCACTGAGCTATCATTCTACTTTTCGTCCCATGAACCTGACTATTCTAGATACCTCATATAAGTGGAATGATACAGCATTTGTCTTTTTGTGAACAGCTTATTTCATTTATTGAAAATTATTGAAATGCCCTCAGGGTTTATGTATGAAGCATTTGTCAGCAGGATTGGTTCCTTCTGAGAGCTGTGAGAGAGGGGTCTGTTCTGAGCCTCCTTTTTGGCTTCTTCTCCCTTTGTTCCTTTGTCATCTTCCTTCTGTTTATGCCCATGCCTAAATTTTCCCTTTTTATGATGACACCAATCATATTGCATCAGGGTCCCCTCTGATGACCTCATTGTAACTTGATTACCTCTGTAAAGACCCTGTCTCTAAATAAGGTCATATTCTGAGGTACTGAGGGTTAGGACTTCATCATATGAATCTTAGGATGCACAATTCAACCCATAATAGATGCCTTTTATTTATTTTTCTTTCCTTATCGCACTGGCTAGAACCACTAGTGCAGTGTAGAACAGAAGTGGGGAGAACAGAAATCCTTGTCTTGTTCCTGATTTTGGAGGGAAGGCACTTAGTTTTTCACCACTGAGTACGTCATCTGTAGGTTTTTGTTAGAAATTTTTTATCAGATTGAGGAAGTTCCCTTTTATCCTTGTTTGCTGCGAGTATTTATCAGGAATAAACGTTAGCTTTTATTAAACACTTTTCCCGCATCTTTGAGGTGATCATATGGTTTTTCTATTTTACTTTACATTATTTGTGCATGTTTTAAAATTTATTCCCATTTATTATATGACTGAGACATTCCTCAGAGATTTACTTTTTAAATGGTGAAAAGGAATTATATAGTGATTTTATATGGTGAAATGCTAATTATATAGTGATTTTAATCATCAGTTTTTCTTTCCGCTCTTGATTAGTGAATGAGAGCTACAAGCCTGAATTTATAGAGCTTAAGAAGTGGCTGAAAGATAGGAAGTTTGAAGATGCAAATTTAATACCTGCTCGTTTTCCAGGTGAGGTCTGGCATTCAGCTCGCACGTGAGAGACGTGGGCACAGGTGATGGGAGAGTGGGGGTGATTCTTGCACGTGGGCTGTGTTCTGTCTGGGAGCACATCTTCTGTTGCGTGTTAGGCTTCTTGCCTCGTAGCTGTAATATTTATTTAATCGTTACCTTTTTCTAAAAATGAGTTAACGAGGCTTGTGGAGAGAAATTCCAAAATGGTGAAATGAAATTAAAAGTTAAAAAAAGAGAAATGAGAGTAGACAAATAAGACGAAGGCGGGGATGAGGATACCACACAGAGCTATGATTTTATGATAGTACTTTATGATGGTGAACTGTATTTGTCAGCCTCTGACAGAGTGTTTAACTTTCTGTTTCTGTGTGTCTAGAAACAGTCAGTAAAAACCATGGAGCTCTTTCTTTTTTTTTTTCTCCTTGAAGTATAGACAGTTAATACTATGTCAGTTTCTGGTGTGCAGCATAATAGTTCAGTCATACATGTACATACATATACTCCTTTTCGTGTTCTTTTTCGTTATCGGTTGCTACAAAGTAGTGAATATAGTTCCCTGTGCTCTCCAGTAGAAATTTGTTGTTCATCTGTTTTATATATAGTGCTCAGTATCTGCTGGATGGAGTTTTTAATGAGATGATCAAGGGGAAATTGTGTCAGGAGAGGACTCGCTGTGCCTAAGGCCTGCCTACTCTTTGGGTGAATGTCACTTTGCCTTAAGAAGGGTAGATCTTAAATCATCAAGCAGGAATTGGCATGTGGTTTAAATGGAATGCCTGAAAGTAAGTAATCTGTCTATAATTGGGAGCAGTGAAAAGTTACCAGTTTTAAAAGTGGAAACAGCTTTCTCTGGGCCCGTCTCCAGATTCGTGGTCACAGAGGAGCTAAAGCAAAGCGGTTCGGCAGTGATTAGAACCCAGTGCTTACAGTTCTGGGGGCAAGGAGCCTCCTGTCTTAACTTGAGCTGCTGTGACAAATTGCCATAGGCTGGTGGCTTAAACAATTTCTCACTCACAGTTCTGGAGGCTGGGAAGTCCAAGATCACGGTCTGGGCAGATTCAACGTCTGGTGAGGACCGATTCCTGCTTTGTAAATTGCCATCTTCTTGTGTCGTCACGTGGTGGAGAGCTGGGAGATGGAGCAGGCTCTCCTCTCTCTTCTCGTATAGGCACTAAGTCCCATTCATGAGGGCTGTACCCTATGACCAAGTCACTTACCGTAAGCCCACCTTCTAATGCCATTGCATTGGGGGTTAAGAAATCAACATTTGAATTTGGGGGAAACAAACATTTAGTCCACAACACCTTCCCTAAGTGCTTCCTGTATCTCTAGCTCTTAATCAAAGTGTGATTGGAGGCAATGTTTATGGGAGTCTGACACAGTGTACAGGATTCTAGGGAATTAATCTTAGTTTGTGGAGGGCAGGGCAAGGCTCCTAAGTTGCAGGCAGGATTCAGTCTTTAGACTCTGACCTGATTTATGCTTTGGGAACTGGCCAAGTAGTTCCATTTAACACTGGCCAAAAGCACTGGCCAAATCCTCCCAGATAGCAGAATCATAAGGCAGTGAGAAGTCTGTAATAAGCTTTACTTTTGTAAGATCCTAATGGCCTCTTCCCACCTTGTCTTAGCAGGTGCAGATTACTGTGATCTGTTTTCTGTCTGTTGAGCATTATATTATAGACATATAGGTAACACATCTCCCAGATTTATTCCATATGCTAAGTTCTTCTCATTTATGTTCGGAGAGAAATTTCCGATTAAATTAGCACATGAATTTTTTAAAGGATGACCCCGCAGAGAAAAACCCTCCCTTTAGTAATTGGTTTCAGAAAGGGTTCTGGCCTACTGGGCTGATTAACTCCATCATGGGACACAGAGAAGAAATGAAATAAGTTCTTAAAACCAAAACCTTGTGTTTGAGCAGACCATATGCTTCTAGGTGGGGAGATGACTCATCAAATCAAACTTGCCAGACACCTGATTCAGGACTTGAGGCGGGCACTCTCTCCAAGAACCAGGAGCTCCCATTGGTCCCGCAGGCACTGATCTTTGCAGAATTGTATTCCCTCCCAGCTGAGAGAAGAAAGTCAAGAACTATGAATTTGAGGAGTAGAGACTCCCTGTAATGTAGGTCATACTGGACCTCTGCCTGCCAGAAAACCTTATCCGACGGTGCAGTAGGAGGGCAGCCTTGGGCGTGGGAGGGGTGAACTTCTGCATGTCGGTGGCGTTGACAGTACAGCTGGTGAAGGTTCTGTTGTAACTGCTCTGGCCAAGGCCCTGGCTTGCAGGGAGCAGCTGGCCCTGGACCTACCCTGTTGAGCTCATCCTTTCGAAGAGAGCGTGGCTAATGGGCTGCCTGGTTGGGAGGGGTGGGTGTGGCCAGCAGGCTTTGTGGGACCTGAGTGGGCTTTACTGGGCAGTCAGTCAAAGACTGGAGATCACTACTGGGGAAAGCTGGGGCTGGTAGTGGGTAAAAGTGGCCTGAGGGTCCAGCCTCTGAGGTTGGGTGGGCATGAGGAGGAAGCCTCAACCCCAGCTGGTGGGGTAGGTGGGCCCCCCGGGGGAGGGTCCAGCTTAAAGTTTCCTGTAAGAGACCCAGCAGCAGATCTGTATAAAGTTGACAATCTTTAGATGCCAACACTGAAGCTGACTTTGCCTTTCAAAGATTATAAACCGGAAAGGAGGTCGGGACGTTTCCCAGAACAACCTCTTAATCCTCTGTTTCCCCTGGGAGTCAAAGGATTCGAGACTCCCAGCTTTGGCTTAGTGTAATTTTGAAGTTCATCCAGATCTTTTTATTCAAAACAGTGTCTTTAAGATCTTAAGATAGATAAGATTTACCCTTTTTCTTTGCGTTCCTAGGTACAGGAAGAGGCCTGATGAGCAAAACATCCCTACAGGTGAGAGTTTCTTTCTTCAAACCCAAAGTAGATTTTGCTGCTTTATTTTTGTGGTTCAGATCACATGAAGTAAAAATATTTTAGACATACAGGATTTTCTTTTGAGTATAGTTCTGTCAGTTAGAATTAAATCTTGCTGCATTATAAGAGACAAATCCAGAGTAACAGAGCGTAAGTTTACTTTCCTGTGGTGTAAACAAGCCTGGATAGGCAGACCTGGCTGGTGTGGGGGGTCTCAGGGACTCCGCCCATCTCTGTGCATGTCCTTAGAGGGAGCCCTGCACCCTCAAGTCCAGGCTGGAGCTCCCGGAGCTTGAGCAGCAGGACAGAGCAAGGGGGCGAGGAAGGGCAGGCTTCCTCTCATCCAGGAAATTCCAGCTCTGTCTCATCTACCGGCAACCAGGTGCACAGCCCCAGCTGGCTGCGGAAGCACCATGCCCTTCAGATGGGGTCGCATTAGGGTGGAGGAGGAGAGAGGGCCCGTTGGGGTAGGCAGTCAGCAGTCTGGCACAAGAAGTTTTGTAAATCTGATCATATTTTAAATGTGCATGGGGTGGGGTGGGGTGGAGGGGGAGCTGCTCACGTCTGAGCATCATATAGTAAGTGGAGCCCAGCCACCCAGCAAGCAGCGGGAGGGGGCCCCCGAGCCTTTCCTGGGATTGCCTTCTGCCGAGCAAGGCTCTTAAGCCCCAGGGCTTTTTTCCTCACCTGGTAAGTGAGGAGGTCGATGATGCAGACGCTCCTCAAGGTCTCTTTTAGTTCCTCTGTGCTATTTAAAGGACACCTGATGTACAATTTTTTTAGAGCTAGGAATTAGATCCTTAATTTATTTTTAATTATTTTAATTTATTATTCAAAAAATTAATTATTTTTAATTCTTTAATTTATATAAAATCCAGCTATGTACGTATGTTTAGCCTAAAGAGTGGTAGCTTTCAGTGTGGTAATTCAGTTATGCTATTTTAATTTTTTTTATTAAACATTTTAAATTGTAAAAGATACATAACATGGAATTTATTACCTTAACCATTTTTAAGTATACAGTTCAGTAGTATTAAGTACTTCACTTTGTGCAATATTTTGGTTTTTGAGGGGAGGTATATGACTTTATTCTGTAGCAGAATTTGGGGAGGAGAAATATACCTCTCGTGAATAGAGCAGTGACTGCGGGTGGTTTTCATTTGGATCATGAAATGATAATTAGCAGTTGCTTTACCAGTACTTTCAAATGTGGCTTTTTTGTTAAGACTTTTTGAAGATTCAGACATACTTTACACATTGTGAAATGCACAGATATTGTGTCCAGTTTGATGAGTTTTGACGATGAAGAAATTTACCCCAGTCAAGATATAGGACATTTTATGAAATGGCTGTTCTTTGGATCGGAAAGTCATGGGATGCCGGAGCAGGAAGGGATGTAGTGGTCATCCCAGCTCAGTCCTTGTTTGCAAATGAGGAGACCAGAGATTGAACCCAGAGGATTTTTGGCTGAGATTTTTAACGAAATTAGATGTCAGTTATGATAAAAAGCAGGATCCCTTATGTTTGGCTTCTGAGTGCTTGATTTGTTTCTGATGTCTATTCCTTGACATCTTAATTTTTCTTTCTGTTTCTGTCTCAGTGGGAGAAACTGAAAATTATGCTTTTGCAGGTGGTAAAATGAGACCCTGGTGCTGGGTGGGCTGCCCTGTCTTCAGCTAGTTGGTGCAGGTTGTATGGGGGGGGCAGGTCATTGCTGGGCACAATCCCCTGACACATGGATTTCCCTGGAAGAATTTTTTTGAGTAGTTTCTGTCGCCTGTAGGTCATACTATTTCCTGGCCTAAGATCATGAAGGAGCAATATGATTTGAGTTGTCAGAGTCTTTCCATGTTCCTTTCTGGTGAAAGGTTGACTGGTGATGGGTGTCTTGTTGGGGTGGTACCTGACATGGTAGCGGCCTTGCCTGCATCTGTTGACTGAGAGGCTGGGGAGCCAGTCTCTGGTGGTCTGTGGTTGGGCTCTCCTGCGTTCTTGGTAGATGATTGTGGAATCAGGGCCTTTAACAGACTCATACAGGTCCTTCCCTAAGTACGGGTGTTCTAAACTTTACTTTCTTTTTGGTAAGGCGGGACAGATGATTATCTCGTTGCCTGAGAGTTGCCTGCTGACCACAGACACCGTGATTAGAAGCTACTTAGGGGCGTACATCGCTAAGTAAGTGACTGCACACCTGCTCATCTGGGACAAGTGCTTCTCCTTTGAAGTCTCTGTCATAGGCAAATATATCATCTAAGACATGGTTCGTTAGAACACAGTCCCTGTGTATAGCTGATCAATATCTGAAGTGATTTGAAAGGTTTACTCTGTTCTGTGAAGTTGGTTCTTAATTCACTGTAAACTGCATTTTTAAGGTTTTTAGTAGGCTGCTTGGGACGTGAGTTTGAATCCTGATCTAACCTTACTAGAAAATGAGGATTAAGTGGGATAATAGACGTAAACGATGACTGAGTGCCTTGACTCATGGTACTGTCCTCCGTCAGAGTAGGTTCTGACAAATGTTATTTACCCTTTTTAATTTTTACCCTTATTGTACTTACTTGAAATTTCTTTTAGCTACGAAGAGCTGTTGACAGTATCAAAGAGTTGGCTTTATTTGGCATAGAAGAGAGGAGGTCAATGCGGGAGCTGAGAGCTATTTTCTGGCTCCTTTTACAGTGCTCCTCCGTTTTGGGGGACTTCTGAGAACAGAGCGAGTGAGATTCTCAGCATAAGGGGTTTCTAAATTAGAAGGGTTGAAAGATTGTATTCTCAATCCAGAGTAAGTTCTGGACCCTTTTCCCCCGGCTTACTTTGGTAAGAGGGCTGATGTATTTTCATTGGCCTGAGTAAAGGCAAGGATGCTCATAGTATTAACATTTTCTGTATCCTTCTGAAGGTTTGGGTAGAATGCATGGAATCTGAACTTTGAAGGATTAATGAAAACCTTTCTGAATACATTCATGCAACATGAGATCTTTTTATTGGTAACAAATAAAAATACTGCAGTGTATAATTTGCAATAGGATGGATAAATTTAAGACAAGAGCTTTAGAACTGTAACAGGTATATAATGAGCATATTCAGTTGTCTGCCTAGGTTAGTATCGTACAATAATAGAACTTTGTGCAGTGATTGAAACGTTTCACTTTGCAGCGTTCAGTGTGGTAGCCACTAGCCAGACACATGTAGCTGATGAGCACTTGAAATGTGGCTTGTTTGACTGAGGAATTGAATTTTCAGTAGTATTTAATTAAAAAAATTAAAATTGAAATAGTCATATGTACCCAGTGGTTACTATGTTGGAGGGGGCACTTCTCGGTTCTTTCCACCAATTGCCCCCCGCCCTCCAAGTTTTGTGCCCTTAACCAAGAGAAACGTGGACTTCAGCAAGAGCTTTAAAACTGAAGAACCAAGTTGGAAGCAAAGAGGTTTTTCAAAAAAGAATCTCTTGCCAACAAAGCTGGAACTTGGGTTAGTTGAAGCCGTTCCTGTATCACTGTGACTTGTTCACAGCATTTGTACTGGGGTGCGGTCCAGGGAGGAAGGCCTCGAGGAAGGAAGGCCCTCTCTTGGGTGCAATAAGTAAACTTGGAGTGTACTGCCAGCTTGGCCACAGTCCCTCTGGGGGCAGAACTAGGCACTAGATGTCTGTATCTTTTGCTTACTCTGTATTTTGAATGAAAGTAATTCCTTTAATCTCTGGCTTTTCATTTGAAAAGGTGGCAGCCTCCTCCGTCTCCCCTGCTGGCTCTGTGCACCTTTCTAGTTTCAGAAAAGCATGCTGGGAATCAGTCACCCTGGAAGCCTTACCTGGAGGTGTTACCGAAGGCCTACACCTGCCCTGTTTGTTTGGAGCTGGAAGTGGTGAATCTTCTTCCCAGACCTCTGAAAGCAAAGGCCAGAGAGCAGAGAACCCGCGTGCGGGAGTTCTTTACCTCCTCCAGAGGCTTTTTCTCTTCCCTGCAGCCTCTGTTTTCCCAGGCTGTCGAGAGCATCTTTAGCCACAGCGCCCTCCTGTGGGCTTGGTGCACCGTCAACACCAGGGCTGTGTACATGAAGCGCCCGCCGAGGCCCTGCCTTTCTGCAGAGCCAGACACCTATGCACTCGCCCCCTACCTGGATCTGCTGAACCACAGCCCCCACGTCCAGGTGAGCCGCTGACAAGGGGACCCGTGTTCTGTTTCAGTAGGAGGGACTCTAACGCGTAGAACCTGTGACGTGGAATCGTAAGCGAAACCCCAGGGAAAGGTGCCGCTGGTCAACCTTCCGCCGTCAGGTGTGCTCCCGTCCTTCCTCCCCAGGGCTTTGTTCCTTTGCCCTGTTTTCCCCCTCTGCTCTCCACGCCCGCAGAGCCTGGTGCTGTATTCCCCGGATGGCCTGAACCAGCAGCTCCCCCGACCCGACCCCCAACCCCCGGCCATGGTGCAGCGGCCCCCTTCCTCCTTCCAGACGTGGGAGTAAAGTCTTGCATGCTTTCTGGTCCCTTTCCCTGTCTCACTTGGTGGCATCGCTGTCAGAATTGACCCTTGCTGTGATCACTGACAGACTCGCTCCTTCCGCCGGGCGCTCCGCAGTCTTAAAGGACGGGGACCTTGCTCTGTTCCTTTCTGTAACCCCACGGCCTGACACCTAGCAGGCATTTGCTAAACATTTTCTGAACGGATGGATATTTGTGGGACATCATTAAGGAGTCCTGCTTTGGGAGTCAGTCAGAGGTCTCCTCCTCTCTGGCACATTAAGGAGGTGATTGTATCTGCCCAACACAGTGGGGTCAAGGCCTGGCTTTGGGGCAGTGGATGTCTGTATTTGTCAGCTAACCCGTAAGCTGTCCAGGGTGCACTGGGAGGCACACTGGCGGGGATCTGCACTCACACTGTCCTCTTCACGACCCACGTGAAGGTCGAAGCCGTCTGGTTAACCATGTGCCTGTGAGAGGAGAGCGTGGGGAGGCCCTACTTAGTGCTTTCTTCGGCCAGGGCCATCTCCTTGCCTGTCCGCTCGTTACTTTTGTAGAAAGCTGCATCTCTAACAAAATTAAGCAGAGGAGCCCGAGGTTAGATGGGTGTTTCTGTGGTTGATGTTGATGAAATAAAGTCAGAGGGTGCAGTACGTAGGGTGCTGGACACAGGGACTCAGTCCCCATGGGTGTGACTTTATTTTTATCCAGCTGTTAGTGCATTTTTTCTAAACCAGTGCTTTCACAGCCGAGTGTAGCCTGTGGGCATGTGGTCCCAGGGCCCCTGCAAAGCCTAAAATACTTACTCTCTGGCCTTTTATGGGAAAAGATTGCCAACCCCTGTTGGAAGGTGCGCCTGGCTGGCTTTTGACATAACACTCCAAACCGTGGCCCTAATCTGGTGCTGCAAGGAAGGAGTTCTATCTCGCTGGGATTTGCTGTTTAGTAAGGAGGCCCTGATGCTTGCACCTACTCCTTGTTGTGGGAGCAGTTAGGTCTTCTTTGTCTTTTCCTCTATGTCTCTTAACTAACAAAACTGTCACAAAATCCATGTGACGGTATCCACAAATACTGTGCTGCCCAAGGGCTGTGTGTTGTAGGACCTGGAATTTCACGTGCGGCCTTGGTATCTTTGGGCCTTGCAGGGCCCCAGAGCCCTGACTGTGAGTTCCTTTGCTCTCACTGGGTATTTCCCAGCGGGCAAGGCTTCCCACCTGGCTAGTTGCCCTGTCAGCTGGACTGGCTGCATGCCACCTGGTCCTCCCATCTGATGGGTTTCACCTCCCTGCCAGCCCTCGAAACTATTCAAACAAACAAATCACATCTTCCCACAGGAACCAGGGGTCACCTCTTGTTCCTTCAAGCCTGCTTCCTGTGGCCCCTGCTGGTCACTCTTCTCTTGAGCGCAGCCCTCCTATGGCCCTGCACGGCATGCTGTGTCCTCCCCTCTACCCTGGGCTGTACGTGTGACTTACAACTGCTGTCACTCATCTGTCCGTTGTCAGGTGTCACGTGTCCAGCCATCCTCAGAGCCCTCAGGGCTCTCACTGATGGGGCGAAGTCGAGGCCAATAAAAGAGGCTGATGTGCAGATGTGGCATTTTTTCTGCATGGAGATCAGTTCCCCACGAGTGCTTGAAAGCTGCATCGGGCGTAAATTTATACCATCACTCAATCTGTTTAGTTTTCTACCTTGCTTTAAAAAACTCTTCTACAATTTTCCTTTCTAGGTAAAAGCAGCGTTTAATGAGGAAACTCGCTGTTATGAAATTAGAACGGCTACAAGCTGTAGAAAACATGAAGAGGTCTTCATCTGCTATGGGCCTCACGATAACCACCGTCTGCTCCTGGAGTATGGATTTGTTCCTGTCCGTAACCCTCATGCTTGTGTTTATGTCTCAGAAGGTTAGAATTAACTTTGTATCATTTTATCACTAAGATGCTACGGTTTTTCTTCCCCATCTGTGGTTAAGTTTTTATAAAAATGGCAAACTCTTAAAATGCATATCATATTTTCTCCTAGGTAAGGCAAAGCTAATTTTTATTGACCATGTAATTTCAGTGTGGAAGTGAAAACAACAAAGCTTTGCTCGATATTGAGGATAAGAACTGAGAAAATTATTATGCATCAGGGCAGACCACAGAATGGAAGAGGAGGACTGCTAGGGGAATTAGAGTATTAACAGACAGAAAGAAACTGAAGTTTTTGTACGGAGACACTGTCACTACAGACAGAATAGGATTAGAGAGCAGCAAGTAAAACATATTTCTTATGCACCCACTGTGCGTAAGGCACCACACGGATCACAGGAGAAGTGTGATGGTAGCCAGTTCTTGTTTGGCTTTAATGCCGTGATAAAGTGTGGGTTCAGTTCTGGATCTTTTGTTACCCACCGTCATCATTCGTATTACTCTTTCTAAAATAATGACTTGCCTATCAAGTTTATGCTATGAAAACTCCAAATACAGTATTAAAAGTAGTACCCAGAGGGCTGGTTTCTTCCCCCTTTCTTTTGAAGCAGCAGAGAAACAGTTTTCTAGGCATTGAAGAAATGGTTAGAGATTTATTTACTGTATAATAGTTTTAATATGAGTTCTAGTGGAAATAGAAACTTGGTCAAGGAGTTACTGCTCTATCCTATAGGCAGAGAAATAATGTTGTTTCTCAAAATGAAATAGAAAAGTGAAAACTGGGTCTTGCTGGCCCCTTAGAAAGAGAGCTTTGAGATTAGCCTCGTGTTATTGGAATAACTTTCGTATTGACCATGAAATGCTGATTTATTAAATAATTTGAACAAAACTTACACTTTTGTTATTTTTTGCATTTAAAAAATAAATACAAGAAGAAATTTAAAACAGGAAATCCCTCCTTACCCTACTATCCCAAAGAACTTTGTTAATTTTTACATATCCATTTTCAGTTGCTTATGATTACAATTACTAATACTCAGAGAATTTTGAAGTCTGACTTTTAAAAACTTGATCTTGGAAACATCTCCTGTTTGCACAGGGCCTGTACTTTGCACAGTGGCCGTGACTTCCCAGCCGTCCTGCTGGTGTCTTCACTCCCTGATTCTGCCAGTTGGTTTGCTTAGTGGGAGCGGGAGCTGAGGCAGTGGATGTCTCGTCCCCTGCTTGGAATTGTGGCTTTTCAAGGGCTGAATGATGCTCTCATTGAGTTGGACTTGAAGAATAGATTTCTTTTTTTCGGGTGTGAATTAGGTAAAATTGTTTACACGTGCCTTGATTGCTGACCGGCAAGAAGGTGAGCTGAGAAGGAATGGTCTGAATTATACCCCAAATCTCAGGCTGATTTTTTTTTTTTGTGTAGATACCCTTGTTAAATATCTTCCATCGACAGATAAGCAGATGAACAAAAAGATTTCCATTTTAAAGGATCATGACTTTATAGAGTAAGTGCTTCTCGCTCTAAGGAATTTTGATGAAAAAAATGGAGGGTTAGGGTTTCCTTACATAGATGTGAGCTACCTCCTGACCCATATCAGGGGACAGGTAGCTATTTATTGAGGAATTACTACGTGCAGTCCATTGTGATGGTTGTTATGGGGCACACGAGGAGTGTGAGATGCCTGTCAGGACACTTTTTTGGGGACGTAAGATACACGCTTGAAATATTAAATTATGGTTCCAGCAGAGCCCCGTCTGGATTGATGGATGTGTGTGGCATTGGGCTACTGCAGCTCAGGTTGGCTGTTGGTCACCCAGCAACGGACTCTTGGGGTGGGGGCGCCTGGGCGATTCTGCGCCATATGGAATAAATGGGATCTGAGACCCTTCCTTTCAAATTTTCTTCTAGAGATAAAATTATCTAAACAACACAGCAGGGGTGTGAGAGCCAGCTAGCGTGGTGGCCACCGTTTGAGCCTCAGGATAATCTAGATTCTTCATCATTCATCTCAGCCTGGTCTCCTTATCCAAGTTCAGCTTCTTACCCAATAAAAATAGCGTTTTCCTTTTTTTCTTAACACAAAGAACCTTTTATTACTCAGGCTTTATTCTTGAGTATTTGCAGACTTATTTTTCTCTTTTGTCTTTGTGACTAAGATGGTGGTAATGTTTAGTGGCCTTTTTAAAAAATGTTTGGCTTTTTAGCCATTTGCCATGGTCTAAAGAAGTACCAAGTGACAGATTTGTTTTTCTACTTTAGAAATTTGACGTTTGGCTGGGATGGACCGTCTTGGCGGTTACTCACAGCTCTTAAGCTGTTATGTCTGGAAGCTGAAGAATTGTAAGTTCCGTGTGTGTTGGTCATGAACTATTTGGACATAACTTTGGCTTTTTTGGGCTTACATTCAAATGCCCAACTTCAGAGAAGAAAGGAATGCCATTGAATACTGGGGTTGCTTATTCTTGATGTAACTTGCCCATCTGGTGTGTCACGTCTGTTTCCACTGTTTTTGGAATTCTGGTTTTAGTCAAAATCAGAGTACATGGTCCTGAGAACTGGTCTGTACTCAGATATTTCCCCCTGGTGACCTGCAGCTCGTTATTCAGGGTAAACACTTTGGCAGGTATGGGCATTGGCCGTGTGCAGAGGAGAGTCTCTTGAGTAGGTGGGTTTTTCCTGGGAACAAACAGAGCTCCTGACCACAGACACCACCTAGACCCCTGCTCAGGGAGAGGCCTGGATGTTTCCATGGGGCTGGCAGGTGGAAGAGCCCCTGGTGGAGATGTGCATCCTGGTCAGGCTCCTTAGCATTCCCGAGAGGCTGTCGGTCCTCCCCTCAGCGTGGGAAGGACCATCAGCACATAGAGCTGAGCACTGCCCAGCCCTGGAGCTCCTGCAGCCTGGGTTCTGGTCAGGGAGTCGGGGAGTAATGCCTACGACTTAGTGAAAACTCAGGGAGGACTTCTTGAAGATGGCGAGCCCCATCCTCCAGCTGTTGGGGAGATTAGATGTGATAATGCCTAGAAGTAGTTGGTGCCCATTCAGTCCTGCCCGTGATGTTACTGTTGATGACATTGCTTGCTTCCTTTTTTTTGCAGGGACTCAGGGAGAAAAACTACTGCCTGGTCTCAACACGAAAAATAGTTGTGTCTCTTCTCAGCAGGCGGTGTGTTTTTGTGTAACAGACACTATGGTTTCTGTATCTGATACATTTCAGATCAGATTATTGCTCGCTAGAAAACTCAGAGGCAGATCTGTGGTCCATCCAAGTGTGCAGCATTTTAAGGCATGCAGTTTGTCACTGACTCATTGCTGGCTGTACCTCATCTTTCCTGCTCTCATCTTCCCTTTACCTTCTTTTCTCTCTCCGTTCATCTTACGTTTTATTTTATCTCATGTGTAGCTATGTCAGCTTCTTTAAATCCTTCTGGGGAAAAGGTATGAATCCTTTTCAGACAAACCTCAAATTAAAACTGCTGGATGTTTGCCAGAGGTCCCCCCGAGGCCTCTTTTCTTCCCATTGAGTTGTTCCTGACTGTCTGGAGTGGTGTGGCAGGGAAAGCATGTGTTTGGGATTCTGCCTGGTGGGTGTGTGACTCTGTTTCTGCCTCTCATTAGCTTTGTCACTTAGGGTGAGTTCTTCACTGTTGTGGATTCTCAGTTTCTTTGTGTCTACCATGGGTATAACAGTGCTTTCTTTGTTAGGCAGTTGTGAAGATTAAAACAGACAGTGGTTGCACGTAGAACACTGTGCCCGGCACAGACTAATGTCTTTCCTTACTTCTTTTCCTGAAAACCTCTCTGTTCTGGGGTTGCCACCATCATCTCTAAGACTAAAGACTTCTAAGACTTGACTTCCTATGTGGCTTGTCTGATGTTCTGAATTTCTTTTCTTTCTTTCTTTCTTTTTTTTTTTTAAAGCCTATAGCACCTGGTGTTCCTAGGTGGTCTCCCATCTGAGTACTCACCAGGCCATACCCTGCTTTGCTTCTGAGATCAGATGAGACTGGGTAAATTCAGGGCAGTTTGGCCGTAGACTGTTCTGAATTTCCCTGTGACCTCTACTCGGATGGTGCGGCCGACCCCTGGCCTTTCCCTCCTCAACCACTTCTGTGTCCAGATTCTCTGCATCCAGACTCTGTGCCTCCTCCCTGCCCGCCTCCCTGGTTGGTGCTTCTCCCCAGACTGTAGATTTGGCTCGGCTGCCTTCTGACTCGGCATTGCGCTGTGGCTCCCTCTTGCCTACCCCAAAATGCCTGCCCTCTCCTGCCTGCAGAGAATTGGTCCTCCCAGCCCACTGAACCTCATTTCCTACAGACTTTTTTAGTATAAAATTGGAATGACCTGTATGGAGAGAAAGGCTTCACTGTAGATCCCTCCTTCCATGTGCAGAGCATTTTACTTTGTGGAACATGTCCTGTTCAGTTTGCCATTTTTTGGGAAGGACTCGCTTGCAGTAAAGGAATACTGCTGCCTTTGCTCCTTGGTCTTTTTAGTCCTTTAGCTTTGGACTCACCCCCTTGTCTGTCCCCTGTTCTAGTCCCGTGGCCGGGGCACGTGACTCTGCTGACTTACGTGCCAGACACAGGATTGTGATGCTGTCACTCAGTCCCTGCCAGAAGCACCAGGCCCTTCTCTTCTTATCCTCAGGGTTCCCTCTTCTTTCTTAAATACCTTGTCTGCTTCAACACAGGAACCACATGTGGTGGGAGCTTTGAGGAAATGTGCTGATGGAATGAATTATTATGTTTCTGAAAAAATAGGAGAAGAGAATGTGCATTGTGTTGAAGTAGAAACGCCTTCTTTATTTTTTGAGAACCTGCTGAAATGATCTTACTGAATATTTTGATTCTAGTACATGCTGGAAAAAAGTACTTCTTGGGGAAATAATTTCAGATACAAATGAGAAGACAAGTTTGGACATAGCCCAGAAAATATGCCATTATTTCATAGAGGAGACTAATGCTGTGCTCCAAAAGGTATGCTTCTGGAATATTGCCATTCTCTTCTTAAAGAGGGGTTTTGATTAAGAAGTTGTTTTGTGCTTGTTGGATAAGGATAGTCCACCTTATTAGGGTGCTGTTAATGCCTTAATAAATGGATGCTGACATAATCTCTGTGTTTTTTTCATTTTAATTTTTTAAAAATGAAAAAAAAATTTTTAATTGAAGTACCGTCAGTTACAATGTGTTGGTTTCTGGTATACAGCACAATGTCCCAGTCATGCATATACATACATATATTTGAATCTCTGTGTTTTTTGACTGTTAACATGTATCTATACCTTTTAATAGGTAAAGTTATTGCATGAATTCTTGGTAGTAGATTTTTAAGGTACTCTTTCCTTTTCATTTAGTGATTTGTTAATTAAATGAAGAATCAGCTTATTTGAATGAAAACATTACTGGGATTAAAAACTAATTTTAATGAACTTTGCAGATATTGTACTAAGTGAAATAAACCAGAGCACTAAAAGACAAATTTTGTATGATTCTGCTTATATGAGATACCTGGAATAGGCAGATTTATAGGGGCAGAAAGTAGAAGAGAGGTTACCAGGGGCTTGGGGAAGAGGAAGTGGGGAGCTGTGTTCAGTGGGTGCGGAGTTTCTGTTTGGCATGGTGAAAAAGTTCTGGGGATGGGATACTGGTGATGGTTACATAACGTTGTGAATGTCCTTAATGCCACTGGGTTGTCCATTTAAAAATGGTCAGAATGTTAAATTTCATGTTTATTTTACTACACTAAAAAAATAAAAATAATAACTTCCAGGTTTCTCATATGAAAGATGAAGAATCGGCTTTGATAAACCAATTAACTTTGGTAGAAACGCTGTGGACAGAAGAGCTGAAGATTCTCCAGGCCTCTGCTGAGATCCTAACCAGTTTGCAAACAGCTTTTACGTAACCTCACCCAATTGCATCTGATCACCTCCTGTGCTGGGTGTGACTTCTTAAACATTTTTAAACTAAAGTTTATTTTATATAGAATTATTTACAGTCAATGAAGAGTTTTTATTAAACAATTATATACTTAATCCTATTCTGCTTTTTCTTTGTTTGCGGGGTGGCGTGCTGGCTGCTTGGGACATTGGAGAGTACCTGCAGGTGAGGTTGGGTGTGCTGTCCTGACGGCATTTCAGATGCTCTCAGAGTAAACAGCCCTGGAGGAAGCAGTCTGAGGAAAGTACCAGCTGTAACAGGAGAGGAGGCTGTGAGGGGCCAGGAGTCGGCCGGGGCTCTGTGTGTGGTCTTCTGCTGGGTGTCCTGCTTCTCATCTGACTCAGCAGCTGTAAAAGGGCAAGAAGTCGTGCTGTTTTATGCTCTGAGGCCACAGGTTTAGGGGTTGGGGCCTGTGGCGGTGGGTGGCTTTGGAAAGGGGAATGGGAGGGGCGCACCGAAGTCCTGGGTCCCAGCCGGGCTCCACCCCCAGCTGCTCTGAGCTAGAGCGGCTCACTTTGAAGTTTTCATCCTTGATTTTCCATCTGAAAATGAGATTGTGGGGCTGGAAAGGGGATCCCTCGTGCTCTGCCCCAGCGGAAGGGCTGAGGAGCCAGCACCTGCATCAGGCAGAGGCCCCAGTGGTGCTGCCCCTCCTCTTTTGTGCCTCACTGCTGTCAGGACCAGGGCTTAGATCATGAGAGGGACCGTCCAGTGCTGGCTGACAGATTTCTGTGCACGGAAAATTAGGTTGACGTCGTTAAATAGGAGACATGTGGAGCCTCTCCAGTCCTCCCGTATTGACAGTTTTCCAGAATGTGTTTAAATCTTTTGTCAGCCAATGCCCCTTTACCATTATTTTTGTTGGGGGGCTGGAGGGGTGGATAGCTCTTATTCTGCTTTTCTGTTATTTTAATGCGGGTATTAGGAGGAATAGGAGATAACGTTTTGCTCAGTTGGTCATTTTGAATTAAGAGTCTTTGCCTTTTTTTCCTAATAATAAATGTACTTCAGTCTGTCAACTTGACTCTGAGTATGGTTTTTATATAAAATGTGCTCTAATTAGTACTTTTTAGATCTTGGCTCTGGATTTATACTTTTCACAGTGTTCTCCTGCCGCCAATTAACTGTGAAGGGTCAGAGCATGTGTTACCATACATCACAGAAACAAATATGTGCTTAATATAGAAGCTGGACATTGTCAAAACATGTGATAGTAACATTTATTAAATATTGGTGACACCGAGCAGGACCCTGTGGGGTCTTCCCAGAACAAACAGCCCCACCCCCTGTCACTATGTCCTTTGCTTGCCTCTTATCTGTAGGAAAACATTAGCTTCCTAGGCCTTCCCCAAGTTCCAAAGAGTAAATTTAACCAGAGAAGTGAGAAAATGCAGGAACAAAAAGGAAAACAGCCAAGCAACGTAAAATGATAGTTCAGCCAATAAACGAAGTCAAAGATTTTTCCTTCCTCCTCAAGGGCTCTAGATAATATCCTGAGCCATGTCCTTTGAGCTGTTTTGCAGCTACTGAAACCTCCACCAGGTGGAAGTTAACTGTATGCTGCCTTCAAGCAAGTAGACCCCAGACTGGTTGGAACCAGAAGGCTGATGATGTTGACTCCTGATTATCTTACCACCAACCAGTCAGAAGAATGTTCATCAGCTCATCATGGAGCCCAGAAACCCCATCCCTCACTCTGTCTTTAAAAACCATTCCCTGAAACCCATCAGGGAGCTGGGGCTGAGCACTAGCTACCCAGACTCCTTGCCTGGTGCCTGCAGTAAACACTGCACCTTCCTTCACCACAACCCAGTGTCAGCAGATTGGCTTCACTGCGTGCAAGTGAGCAGACCAAAATTTGGTTCCACACGGTGATAATAACTGCGTACAGCACTGTGCTCCAACCTTGATGTGCAGTGTTTCATGGAAGCCTCACAACTGCCCTGTTTTACAAATAAAGAGGTGAAGAAATGGCCCGAGATCACAAACTTGGGACGTGGTGGAGTGAAAATGCCCCTCCACCTGACTCGGAGGGACACGGTTCACAGCTGTGGTGTGTTTGTGTCCAGAACTTCCCCTGCCGTCCTGACGCGAGCATACACCTGTTCCTCCAACCTTGGCTGGCGTCCGCCCGCGTGCAGAAGGCAGCTCCCCGCTTTCTCGCACCCCGGCATTGCTGGGCGTCGGCCGCTTGGCTGCAGGTTCCCCTGGGGGGACTGCAGACGGGTTGGCCTCGTTTTCCCTGCGCTGCGACGACGTAAGAGTCTCGATTAGAAACGTCGCTGGCCCGTCCCTCCTCCTGCGGCCCCTCCCCGAGGACGGCGGGGGCGCGCAGGCGCGGTCGGCTGGCCCGGCGGACGAGGCTTCTACCCCGGAAGCGAGGGCCTCGTGGCTGCTCTGTGGACACAGCTCCTGGGCCCGCGTGCCTGCCTGGTGTGGACGCGCTGAGGTGGGTGTCGGAGGAGCCTTCGGGGATTCGGGGACACCCGGGGTTTCCCGGAGGACACAGTTCCCCTCAGCGAGCTCCTGGCCTGTCGCGTCCCTGAGGCAGGGCTTACCCAACTGCTCATTCGGGGAGAAGGACTGGCCCCCTGCTCAGCGCTTCCGTTTCGGTTCCTGGGGTCTCTCCTGGGCGGGCCTCGCCCCTGGGGTCCGGCCCCACCGGCACAGCTGTGCCTCTGCCGACGCCTGCTTGATTCTGGGGCTCCGAGTAGGGAGACCAACCCGAGGCCACGGGCATATTTGGACCTGGATCCTTACTTATTACAGAGTATTTTTTTTTTTTTATCCTTTTAAGAAGCAGGGTGGGAAGGGGGTGGGCATTCCCTGCTCAGCCCTTGACCGTCTTTGGCCTGGGGGACCCCTGGCCGGCCTGCGGGGCTGGGGAGAGCCTTGCAGGGAAACCAGGGAGCTCAGGTTGGGGAGCAACGGCCCCTCACTGTGCTAGGCAGCCCCAGCCCCACGGGTCTGTTGCCCAGAGCCCTCCTGCTTTCCCTGCCAGGTTTCCATCCTTCCCCAGCACGCGAATTCCTCTCCTGGGGCAGCAAAAACAAGTGAACGGGCCCGCTCACCTCAGGAGTCAGAGTCAAAAATAAAACATCTTCATTATTATAGCTTGAACATCTCTCCCTGTTCATATATATAGTTGGTGTTGACTTTATTTTTAAGTAGCCGTGGTGTATTTCATGATATGATATACCAGGAGTCCACTAGCTTTTTCTATAAAGGGACAAATAGTAAATATTTTAAGCTTTCCGTGCTATACGGTCTTGGTCCCAGCTGCACAGTACAGCAGCCATAGACAATATGCAGGCGTGTTTGGCTGTGTTCCAGTAAGACTTGATTCACCAAGACAGGTCATGCCATAGTGTGCTGACCTTGTGCTGCAACATCGTTTATTTTTTTCTGTCCCCTATTGGTGGGCATTTAGGACTTAAATATGCACATATTTCAAATTTTTAAAAATGAAGTCTAGTCGATTTATAATGTGTTATTTTCTGGTGCACAGTGTAGTGATTCATTTATACATATATATATTCCTTTTCATACTCTTTTTCGTTATAGGCCTTTACAAGTTGGCCTTGTATATAGTTCCCTGTGTTATACAGTGGAATGTTGCTGTTTATCTATTTTATATATATTGGTTAGTATCTGCAAATCCCAAACTTCTAATTTATCCCTCCCCACCCTGTCTCCCCCATGGTAACCATGAGTTTGTTTTCTATGTTTGTAAATCTGTCTCTGTTTTGTAAATACATTCATTTATATCCTTTTATTTTTTTAGATTTCACATATAAGTGATACGGTATTTTTCTTTCTCTGTCTGGCTTACTTCACTTAGTGTGACAATCTCCGGGTCCATCCATGTTGCTGCAAAGGTGTTATTTTAGCTTTTTTATGGCTGAGTAGTATTCCCTTGTATAATTATAGCACAGCTTCTTTATCCAGTCATCTGTCAATGGACATTTAGGTTGTTTCCATGTCTTGGCTATTGTAAATAGTGCTGCTGTGAACATTAGGTTTTGGAATAGAGTTTTCTCCAGATATATGCCTAGGAGTGGGATTGCTGGATCATAGGGTAAGTCTATTTTTAGTTTCTTGAGGAATCTCCTTACTGTTTTCAGTAGTGCCTGCACCAAACTACATTCCCAGCAACAGTGTAAGAAGGTTCCCTTTTCTACAACCTAACTATGTTAATTTCTACTTGAAGGTGATTTACACCTTTCCAAAGTAAAGCCCTGCCTTAACACGAAAAACTTCACAGACCAACATGGTAATCGTTGTGCTTCAGTCATCTGGGATTAGAAAAAATGGTCAGTGTCAGAAAGGAACTACTCAAGATGAGAAGCGTTTCATCATCCACAACCGATCCAGGCTTATTTGAAAACAGCGGTGTAAGACTTTCAGTTTGCAGGCAGTGCTTGGTGTATGTATGCATTCAGACTCTTTGCAAGAAACGTTTGGCTCCTGGTGGGACAAGCTGGCCCCCAGGGTAAACCCCAGTCGGGCCACACACCACCTCCCTTGACCTGTCCTTGCGCACGACTGCGAGGGCCAGCAGCCCGTGTCTGCCCACGCAGCGGGGCGGCCTGCGAGGCCTTTTACCAGCAGGACTGCTTGCTCCCCTCTCTGACCCACCGCCCCGCCCCCATTGCCATTTTTCTCCTTCCTCCTGTTTTTTGGTTTCTCTTTACGAGGCCTTGGGCTTGTCTGAGACTCCTAACATATCCACCTTGCTGGTATCTGGTTCCAGAGTTTGTGGGTGGTAAACCTCCAGCTGCTGAGCTGGCCTGAGGGGACAGACAGCAAGAAGTTAGGATAATTTGAGGCATTCCTCGAATCTTTCAAGCTAAAA